GGGGGGGGGGGGCAGAGGGAGTGAATGTGAGACAGACGGCTGGACGGAGCGAGACAGACAGATTGAGAGTGAACAGGTATAATTTCTCAAGTGTTTTCTCCTCTAATCAATTAGAGAAGTGGATAAGAGAAATATGCCCCGAAAGACCAACAACCCGGAAAAAAATAAAACAGGAAATGGTGTGACCTTGTGTGAAGCAGAGTGAGGAGAAGAGAGCGATGGAGGGGAGGAGGAGATGGAGTGATTGGGGTTGGAAGGTAAAGAGGTCCGCTAATTGAAATGAAGAGGGACAACATTATTCAGCAGCGGCAGTCAAGAGGCTGTTCAACCGCACAGCCGTCTGATTGAACAACACAGAAGAGACACTAAGAGATTTTTGAAAATGAGAGAAAGAGAGTGGAGATTGAATGAGAACAGGAGGGGGTCGTGGGTTTTTACTACAAAAATGAAACAATTGCAGTTAGACGTTTGTAATTTACGAAATGTGGCTTGAATGGACAAATACTGTTGCTATGTGGTGTCTTGCAATACTTTTTTACCGAGTCATGTTGGTGGAATCAATGTTTCAAAACTCCTCTAAATTCATTTCATCCCTTCTATCCGTCCACTTTATTCTTTCCTCCTAACCTACTTATAATCCCTCCACTCTAATGAGACATGTTTAAAAAAAAAAAAACATCCCTTCACTCTCCAAAAAATAAGGCCTGGTGTTGCAATTACACCCCCATCTGCCTTCCTCCCCTCTCCCCCTCTCTCCGCCCACCGATCCACCCCAAAAAAGAGCTAAGGATGTCGAAAGATGGATAATTTCCCCTAGGTACAATTTAACTGTCACTTTGCGTTGCCATTTACTGCGGCGCACAGCCCTGTTAATGTCCTCAACTTTGCATGTCAGCCACTTTCCAGCCAATTAAGCCCTGAAAAAAAATGGGAGCGCTTTGCTCAGTGGAAACCTGAAGGATTAGACAAGGAAGCTCATTTTGCCTCATCTCACCCCCCCCTTCCTCCCATTCCCATTCCTCTCCCTCTCCGTCCCCCTCTTTTGTTCCGAGGAGATCGGCAGGCCTGTTATCACGCCACTGTCCTTGCGTGGGGGAGGACAAGGTGTCTATCTCCCGAAAATGCAAATGAGACAGCGATCATGACACCACTAGCCCACTGTTATACACTTACATGTGTGGAAGAATGGCACGTATTCATGTTTACTTCACTACCCACACAGGTGAAGAGTCTTCATACTGCACAATGTTGATATGGCAACAGTAGTGTTTACTCATCTAGCAGAATTATCCTCATTACTCCCCTAATAGTCACTCTCCTATTAGCTCAGTTTGTCTCAATTTCCGAGGAAAGACTCTTTAGTAAAGAGTCTAAAAAACTAAGGCCTCAGGATGACTTTTAGACGTGAACATGGTCATTTTTGTTTTGTAACATTAAATAAAATAATTTATAAAAAAAAAAAAAAATCCCGATCCCTGATTTTTTTGTCCCGATTGCGATCTTTTGAAAATCACGTGAGCGGCTCCGATCACGTGATCGGATCATCTCTACTCTTTACCTGCTGAATGCTCCACTATGTTGCTTACCTTTTCTTTCATTAGGTGCTTGATATTATGAGTTTACTAGTTTCTTGCCTCCAAACCAAAAAGCCACACTGATAACGTCCCACAGAGCTTATGGTAACTGCAGATTCGTGTGATAAGTATCCGCGATATCGTCACTATGAGAACATCATTGTCCATTTAACCCGTCATTGTTTTATAAGCATAATTGATTAGGGCATGTTGAACCATTAATGGAGTCAAGTTGTGCTGCAGTTACAATCTTTCTCAGTGTATCTTTCTTGTTCCACTTGTCTATATGTTCACCTCTGGCTGCTTCGCTTTATCTACCAAGGATTTCCTTTTTTATTTCCACCTCCTATATCACTCATTTTATTTTCATCTGGTCTTACTGTAATTGAAAGGAGAGGCTGTGATCTTGTGTTAGGCCTCACTAAAAATGTACACACAATATAAGACCGTAGGAAAGTGTGAAACTCACTCCTCGCCCATCAGCTCTCCTCCGTTTTTCTGTCTTATCACACACGTCCTGCCAGCTCTTCATTTAGTGCGACTCATTAGCATTTTCTGACGCTAATCACTTCCATAAGGATGTGGCAATCTGGGCAAGAGTAGTAGCAGGCTAGCACGCACAACAGTGAGCGGACGGGCATGAAGGCTAACAGGGCGGCGCGTATGATGGGCTGTCAAGGGCTAATCTGCCGGAGAAGTGTTCATTAAGTCATTAGCGCTGACACAGCGATGAGACGGGTGCAGGCAGGAGTGATGCCTGCTTTGTCCTCTTTTATCTCTTCCCTCCGTCCCCCCTCCTCCCCACTGTCTGTTTGTCCCCTGAGTGACGGCATGAAGAGGAGGAGACCACCGGATAAATATAAAAGATAAAGAGGAGACGAGGACGAGGAGATAGATTCAGCTGGAGCGCAAAAGTCAAGTGCTGTGGTACTCAAGCCTGCCCTGAGGCTCAGCTGGAACTACGTGGTGGAAACTGCTTTACATTACCATGCATTTCACACATCTTCCCAAGAGACACTTTTATTTCAGCTAGCGGCCCGCCTCTGTCGTTTTAAAGCTGCCAATGTAGATCAAAGCTGTAACTGCAAAGCCTTATTAGGGGCCTTCAGTTGCACTTCTACACTATTTAGTGCCTGAAACTGATGTTTTAGAGATAAATAATGACTATTCGGCTCGTTTCTAACTCCTGCAGTGAATAATCTGCTCAAATAAAAGTTGAGCCTGAAATTGGAAGGAAAGATGTTTCTTTTTATTTATTTGACCCGAGTTTGCGCCTCGTCGTTCTGATAGCTCCGCCCCTTGGCTCCAACCCCCCTCCCTCCCCCCACATCTACAGGTGAAAATTACTTTAGCGACACATTCATCACAAGAAGTGTAGCAAAAGTCAAGGCCGCAGATTCGTCCGATTTATTCTGCCAGAGCAGATTCGTCAAGTTGTAATGACTGATTTGAGAGGTTGTAATGGAAAATATATTTTAAAAATGTTTTTTTTCTGCAAGTGAACATTTCATCACTAAGTTCATTTTTTTTTTACAAGCTACAAAACTTTTTTTTTTCTTCTGTGACTTCAAATTTGGTTCCCAGTTACGTGGATATTTTATACAAGTGTAAATGTATGCACACAAGCTCAGATTTATTTTCTGCAAGTGCTCACATCAGGTTTTACACGCTCTCGCATTTTGCACCATATCTACCTTCATATTTAAACTAGCTACACTTTCCAAACAAAAATGTACGATATGCTCAAGTGAAGTGGTCGACAAACGAATATTGTGTGCATATCAAGTTCTACATTTAGTTTGAGGACTATTTCCAAGCGTTGACAACCAGCCAGCTGAAATACCAGCAGTCCGCTTGTCCACGTGCTCATTAGTGTGTTTTCACTGCAGTATCATTTGGAGGAAGTACAACTGGCACTTGATTTGTGAACAGGGCTGTGCTAAGCTGGTGTGTGTGTGTGTGTGCGCCCGTTTGTGTGCCCGTGTCCGTGTGTGTGCCCGTGTGTGTGTGTGCCCGTGTGTGTGTGTGTGTGTGTGTGTGTGTGTGTGTGTGTGTGTGTGTGTGTGTTGGCTGCCGTTGATGACCCAGGAGTAAATTAGCCTGCTAATCTCACAGAGGCAGTGATTAACGAGTGAACCTGGAAACTCTGTTGGTGCCAGGGAGCAGACTTACAGCAAAACAAACAGCTGCAGGGGAGCACAGGTGTGTGTGTGAGCGTCTGGGCATATGTGTGTGTGTGTGTGTAAAGGTCTACCTCTACAGAGCAGCGTGTACACTAGAGGTAAACAGTGTGTGAGAGCATGTGAAGGGCATGTGTGTGTGTGTGTGTACTAGTGGGCCCCTAACGGCGCTGTGGTAAATCCAGCAATTAGTGCTCTGTACATAATTAACATGCTAATGAGTTGATCTACTTAAAAGCTGCTCTGAAAAAAATATAATACTCACACACTCTGAATAACACACACATTCTGAATAGAGTTGAGGGGTGGGGCAATACCAGTGACCCCCAGCCAGTGTTTGGTAACGTTCATTTGCATATTTGCATTATGGGAAGAAGCATCGATGGCCGTCTCTCACCACAAACACACACTTACACATTTGAGTAGAGCAGTGGGTGTTTCAGCAGATCAGGGGTGGGGGCTCATGAGAGAGGTTGCAGCTGGCGAATCCTCTCTAACAAACAAAACCTGGCTCTAACACCACACACACACACACACACGTACATAAATGAGCAATTTCCACATCCTCTCTCTGTCTGAATCGCTGACCCAGAGAGTAACCTCAGCTATGATCATAGGGAGGGATGAGCGACTCACACACACACACACCTGGCAACTGGATTTGGCAGATGAAGACACAAATCTGAAAACAAAAGTGAGCTAGTTGGCTGGAAAGGGGAGAACTTCAGCCATAGAAAGATAATATACCATAACACACATTGTGGTTTCCAGCTAGGCTTGTTTGTTTGTCTGCCAGCCGGATTGCTGAAAAACGACTGGCCTGATTTTCATGAAACTTGGTGGAAGTCGGGGGTCAAGGAAGAACCCACAATATTTTGGACACGAGCGGATGCACAAGTTGTGTTTCGCTTTTGTTACATTTGCAGAATAAGGCACAAGTGCTGCATAAACGTGGTGTTGAAATAATCTGGAGAGATAAAGTTCCCAGCTGGAAAAAATGCATGTGAAAAACGTAGAAACAGCCGTCCAGCCTTGTATAGAGAGGCGAAGTCCCTCCCTTTCCGAGGGAGCTCCATGGGACCTTATTTCGGAAAAATTATGTATTGAAGTCAATGGAGAGAGAAAGATTATCTTTAAATTCCGTTTGAATTGTGCCACGAATTACCCATATGATGTTTGTCAATTTAAAAGTTAATTTTGCAAGTCAAAAAAAAAGAAATGTGTCGTAAAACTGTGTAACATTTTTTTGTGTTTGTGAAACCGCTCAATGAACTACATCTCCCATCTCGCACCACACACCAAGATGGCCGTCACGTTGGCACATTTCACTTCTTTCTTTCAGAATGAGGTGAAAAGTATTAAAAGAGGTGAAAATCACTACAAGTCTGGGCATGTTGAGAGCTATACATACACACGAGGGGAGTTAGTCGGTTCCGTAAGAGCCAGCATGCGGGACCGGGATTCGTAGTCTTTCTAGTTGTGTATTTTTCATAGTCTCATTCAATTTCAACAGTTTTACGACAAACTGTGACTTTTTTGACATGGAAATTCATTTTTAAGACTGACAAACATCATGTAATTCGTGGCACAATTCAAACGGGATCCAAAGATAATCTTTCTCTCTCCATTGACTTCAATGCATAATTTTTCGGAAATAAGGTCCCATGGGTCGGAAGTAGATGGGCGGGACTTCGCCTCTCTATTGATGTTCTAAAATACAACAATTCTTGTAGCATACCTTTTTTTCTCCAGTGACTTAAAGCTAATACAGACATGGAAGTCAAAAGAACGACTCCCCAACTTTGGTTATTTTTGTATGAGGGAGTGTTTTTGTGATTTGTAACACAGCCAGTTTGCTTACCTCTCGATGTATGCAGTAATCAGGGGTGAGAGGAGGTTGGAGTTGGGCCTGGCCAGTCCGAGGGTGAAAATGGAGTCCTGCAGGCGCTGAATGGCGGGGGCGCCGCCCTTGGTCGCCAGAGAAAAGAGCATGTGGAAGAACAGCGTGGTGTGTCTGTCATGTAACACCACCTTCTTCTCTTTCATCTCCTTCAGGAATTCCACTGCCTCTGTGGTGGAGGGAAAGAGAGAGTGTGAAGAAACATCAGTCAACATAAAGGGATGGTGATTTATAGGTAAAGAACAAAAGACAGGAAGAAAGAGATTATGCAGCGTGATGAAGGGAAGGCGAGCGGTGGGCAGAGCTGGGAGAAGAGTAGGGTGTGTGAATACGATAAAAGGCCCCTTTAGCTAATTCCATGTGGGGAAAACAAACTCATATTAAAACAGCATTTTGTGCCCAGCAGGGATGCAAATCCAACCCGTATAATGCCAACTCTGTGCTAATTGCTACTTGCGGTTTTCTAAACGAGACTACAATTACCGGACCCCTACAATGGAGGCCGGCTTTTTGCTGTGGCCATGTGGAAAGCACTTGGGGGGCTAAATTATAGGTATGTGGCGACAAGGGCCCGCCGTGGCCCCAGTGAGACCCCGGTAAGCGGGCTGAGGGGTGGATCAGTTTGGTCAAGCCCAGTCGGTAATGGAGGGCTTTTTAACGGGCCGCGCGCCCATCTGGCCAACACTAGGGGCTAAATGGTTAAAAGGGAATGTGTGTATGTCTGTGTGTATATGTGGTGTATCAGACTAAGGTAATTAAGATGTGTTTACTGTCTATTTAGACAGCTGCTAATGGGCTGACAGCGATACAGCCGCTCTCCACCACAGATACTAATCTATACAGCATGACCAAGAGGAGGGGGGAGATGGAGAGATGCAGAATATATTTGAATAACGTGCGAGAAGCCAGTCCTCTAACTGCAGGGCAATATGGGCATCGAGTTCAACATTCACACACCAACATTTTCCTTACGTTGATGAAAGAGTGCAGCAAGCTCAGATGCAGAAAAAAAAAAGTGTCTCAAATCACACACTCACACACACACACATACACACACACACACACACACTGAGGGACAGGGCCACTGGTGAGTGCTTTGGCATCCTAATTTCAGCATTTCTCTCTCCAGCTCTCCACCTCTCTGTGCCAGTTGTTATGGCGATGGGAACCAAAGGCTGTCACACATGTAATGGGACAGGGGAAAATACAGAAAGGAGGAGGAGGAAGGGGGGTCAAGGAGGGAGACACTGTTAAACTGAGAAACTCCCTCTAAAAGGGAACTTTGGGATTTTAGCCTTGACCATTTTAACAAAATACTCAACACACTACAGGAAAGGGTAAACCTCAAAAAGCATTATCGGGCCTCTTTAAAGGATTGCCCTGACATGAGGTCATGTGTGTACTGTTTATCAGTTCATATGCAACTTGTTCTCACCCACTGACTCTGTGTCTCTCTCCATGTTTCACTTCCTCCCTCCTTCCATACCTCTCTCCATCACTCCGACACACCCGCTAATCACTGAGACCAATGGCTTGGAGTTGATCTGCCCAAATGGAGCTACACAAGCTAACATCCCTCCATCTTACGTTGAATCCCCCCCCTCTATCCATCTCTGCCTTTATCCGTCCGTTTAGCCAGTATGCATATCCATCAGCTCAACCGAGCATCATGGCCAGCAAAGCGAGCCAATCCAAACACACACACACACACACACACACACATCAGGGGATGGGAGGCAGAGACAGGCCAGGTAAACAAACATCACACAGCCCAATGGTTCATCTAATGTTGCATGACTTGACTGCTAGACACACACACACGCACGCAGAGCACCAAAGACGGGTCCAGGACCTCCTAAAACCAGGAAAAGTTGTGTTTACCAAAGTGGGAGGATGGACAGATGGAGGGAGAGGGGCAAAGGCAGGTCAAAGAGACGCTTGGTGATAGAGGAGAGAGGTGTATTAAAAAGATGAGGGAGAGAAGTGAAGGGGTGTACAGGCCCATGAAGAAGGGTTAGGCAGGTTCACTGGGAGGCAGGAAAGTTAGATTAAAGGATGCACAAAAAGGTTATCCAATACATTTTGTCTGTGTCAGTGGGACTTTAAGTTGAAAAGCCAAAGCAAGTTCAAGCAAAACATATCCACATATTCAGGAGCTTATTTTATTTACGTCCTTATTTGCGTTAATTTAAAATGTAAAGTTTAGCACTGGTGTTGGCAGTGAAAACTGGAGACCATCTTCCAATGGGATCACACCAACCCATGGCTCTTGTTCCGTTTCCTTCCCCTCCTATTTCAAGCACCTTACTTTTGACCACAGTCAGCCGCAAATACTGCCTTGTTTTGATCTCAACTAGACATCTGTAAAGTTTTATGACAGGCCAACACTTTGGAAAGTACTACAAACTTATTCTGTGGCAGTAACGTTTCTAGTTTTTTTAAGGTGAGTTAAACTTAAAGATTGGGAAGTGGTCCCTGAGTTAACAAATTCAAGAGTTAATAGCTATGTGTTTATGTCTGATGATTGCCATGTGATCTGTAGTATAATATAAGTATATAACCTACAAACTTTTACAATAACACTGGAAAAAGTGAATCCTTATTTTATTATCTTTGGAATGTATGGCAGCAATAACTTGGATAAAATTGTATTAAGTCCTAAACAGGGTCATACAGTTTATAATGAGGTGACTAAAGCCCCTGTCACACTGTCCCGAAATTGACACCCGATGGACACACGATTAAGGAAATGTTCAAATTCGGCTCTGATCGTAACAACATCGGGCCATTCGTGAGGGCATCTTAAGCCATCGTATGACCGCCGGTGGAGTTTATCAGGCTCCGGCAGCAACTTCGGGAGCTGTGGCAACATCTTTGGCATCACAAAGATGGCTTAAGATGCCCTCACCAATGGCCCGATGTTGCTACGATCAGAGCCGAATTTGAACATTTCCTTTATCGTGTTTCCATCTGGTTGTTTTATTGCGCAACAAAATCATGTAAACATATTATGTAAATAACCCAATTTGTGTTCTGTGAAACTAAAAAGGATATAATATATTATTTTGAAGGCGAGGAAGTTGTTGTTGCTATGGAAACAACATGACGGAGAAAACTTAATATCTTCTACATATAAAGACGGAGAAAGTAAAGAACAAAGTCGGAAAATATCAGTACAGTATCATAATACTTTAACATAATTGTTTGTGTTAGTTTCGTTGCAGTTGTATGTCTTAAATGTAATGTAAATGTTGCCTTCGTGTGTGGTTCGGAGCCATCTTCGTGCGAAATTCACAATTCCATATTCGTGTGTCCATCGGGTGTCAATTTCGGGACAGTGTGACAGGGGCTTAAGGGGCTGCAGGCTAATATGGTGGGAATATTACATCTGCAATTATCAACCCACATGTCCATATCATGATTTTGAGGGGAACCTAGGACACAATCAGATAGCGATGTTGGGAATCTGTTGTTGTCGGAACATAAGTTCACTATATTTTGTGAGTATGACTTCAATTGTTTTTCCAAACTAACCTTCTGAAAAAAAAAATGACACGCAAATAAAGAGATGAAAGTTAAGACAGATGGATGTATAGACACTGACAGATGTGAAGACTAAAAGGACCCTGAGGGGGATGAGCAGTGGATGGAAGGCAACATAAGGATACATTCAAAAGGACAAAGAGAGAGGAAAACAAAAGTTGCCTGACGAGGTGGGAGGCTTTGAAACAAGGGCAAAAACAACAAAGCCATTAGATAGGGCGAGAAATAAAAAGCAAGATGCCAGGAGACATGATCTTCAGCTGGGCCTGGTGTGTGCTGGGTGGGGACAGGCTAACATCAAGGTTAGCCATGTGTGCTAATGTGGCTGACAAGCGTCCCCTCCATATGCACACTCTGGCTAATGGCAAATGCGTTAGCGCTGCCTATACTCACCCCAACACACACACACCAAGTCGCGGCCACCAAATGCCTTTTGCTTGAATTGACATTCAAATTTCTCTGTGTGTGTGTGTGTGTGTGTGTGTGTGTGTGTGTGTGTGTGTGTGTGTGTGTGTGTGTGTGTGTGTGTGTGTGTGTGTGTGTGTGTGTGTGTGTGTGTGAAATGCTCAAGCACTTCGGCGGACATGATCTGCCATTAGCATCAAGGCGGATTTCAATAATTCTGGAAAAATACACACAGTCCTGTAATTTTCCCCCTCTCTCATTACTCAGTGACGCGGGTGTGTGCGAGGGGTGGGAGATTGAGAGAATGACACGCTTGGAGACAGAGCGGGGGAGAGAGGGTCAGATAGAGAGACAGAGACGAAGACGGAGAGAGGGGAGGACAGACGGGGGAATCATTTTGCCTGTCATTGTGTGCAAAAAGCAGAGCGGCAAAACTGATGGTAATTGGGTCTTCGATGGGCTGAAGGAAACCCACCGTAGCATTCTGAAAATGGCCGGCTAATGTGGTTTGAGGGAGGGAGAGAGACAGATTGTGACAGAGCTGGTGACACACACAGGCTCAACAACACACACACACACACACACACACACATCTGTAGACATTTTAAGTTCAAGCCTGATTTACTTTGATCCAGCTTACTGTCAGAGATAAAGGAGTGAGGAACTAAGTGCTTGTGGGATTAGTCAATTAATCAATTGACACAAAATAAAGAACATTAAGATAATCAATCGTTTTTAAACCGTCAAGCTGGAATGTGTTTGAAGATCTTTTGGTTTTAGAAGATCAGTTGGAGAAGAGTCTGAGAAAGTGTGGTGTGCAGTTTTTATATAAAAGGACACTTTAGAAGCTGAAGCAATTGGCACACTAAAATCTTAGCTGCACCCTAGAGAAACTTACCCTCCATTCTGTCGTCCTTTGCGAGAGACTGGACCAGTGCGATGTATTTAGTGCCATCAAGCTTCGCTGACGTGTCCCTACGAGTCCTGAAGACAGAGACAGAGAGAGACAGATTAATGTACTCCACTTACAGTAATGCACCTCATCTATTGTGCGCTCTCCTGCTGGCCTTCAGTCTGATGAGGTGGTGAGTGAAGAGAAGGAAACGAGGGTGGAAGGGAGAGTTTCCTGTGTTTTAGTCAACAGAGCGGCTGGACCCTGCATTAATGTCTCCCCTAATACCACTCAAGTTAAACTTTAATGGCGTACTACTGGTCACAGCACTTCTTTGTGTATCCTGCCTAACGTACATTTCCCTCTTCAGGTTGAGCGCCTCCTCCACGTTGTTGTGGCGACAGCACAGGCCGATGAGGCTGGCGTATGCGGGGGTCGTCATCTCGTCCTCGTGCACGTGCTTCAGCTCCAGGGCGCGCACCAATTTCTAATCACACGTAAAAACAACAGATTTCAGAACCAAACACACAAAAAGCAACACATTTCAAGAAGAAACAAAAAAGAGTTTTGTGAGTGATCCAAAACAAATCCTACCTCCTCAGTGACGAGACTCTGGATGGTTTGTTTGAGAATGTTGTCCAATGGTTGGGTCTCTGCTTTCCTTTTGGCGAGCTTCTTCTCAAGAGAATACAACCTGCCCTCAGTCCCCTGATGGAGAAAGGTGTTAAACACATAATCAAATGCATACACACCTTCAACAGCTTGTTTGAAATAACACTGTGCGCTCTATCCATTGTTTTATGTTTTTGCAAGTCGTATTCAAATGTGGAGTTCAAGCAATACAAGTTTCCCTAAAGATAAACATTTTGCGTTAAAATTGAATAAAGTTGAGTCTCGTAGCGTTTTGATCATTTTATATGCATTTTTCACAGCGTCCTACTTACAATGCTACCGACAGCATCTGACACAGAGCCATCGTGGTCCACCAGAGCAAACACATCCTGACACACACACACACACACACACAGATAACATTAAACATCTTAATCATTAGAGACGCTTTAATAACAGGGTAGTACAGTACAGAAACGTAGTACAAATACTCTGTACTGTACCTTGATGAGCTCTTGGACTCGGTAGGACTGCAGCAGGTTCTTGATGCCTTTGTAGATGTTCAGTGTCACAGTTATATTCTACAGAGAAACGAAAAGGGAGAAAAACAACATCAGCAAAGCACCGATGAGCCAACAACAAGCAACAGGTTCCACAGGAGATCAACCTGTTGCATTTTGTTTGTAAAAAGTTAACTGCAACCAAATGGCTGGGAAATAAGTTAAATCAACTTGAATAGCTTTGTTTAAAAGCCGTCACAGAGCTGGTGTTTGAATTAAGCTCAATACGCATGCACCAACAAACCTTTACTAGGTGCTTTCTTTATTTCTGATAGTAAAATATAATATGTGTGTAACTAGGGCTGCTCAATTAATCGTATTTTTAAATCGCGATTACGATTATGGCTTGCAACGATTACGAAAACAACGTAATCGAAATAAAACGATTATTTTTTTATTATTATTTTTTTTTTAATATTTTTTTTTTTGGGGTTTTCAGTTGAATTATACTTAACGTTCAGGGTAATCAACTGTTAAAAACATACTGTTCACATTTTTTTCTCCAAGTCAATGAATAATCGCATTTAATAATCGCAATTACAATTATTGACCCAAATAATTGAGATTATGATTTTTGCCATAATCGAGCAGCCTTATGTGTAACTACTGTAAATGAATATGTGATTATAGTGTATTTTTGCCTTCTGGTATTTACACACCAACTATTTCTACTACCAATAACTGCTCATTAGGAGTCACTAAAACAAGTTATCAGTCCTTCAAGGTCAGAATTAAACTTTCCTAGGCCAAAATGTTCGCCCGTTTTTTCCATTTGGGTATTTTTTTCCGTGACTCAAAAGCCAAGACTGTCCATTTGTTCGTACTGAACTCCAAACGGCCCTTTAAGATGTGCCCTTTGACCAGTAATTTAAAACATGATTAAATCTTCTACAACACGTCTGGACGTCTCAACTCAAACCTTCAGTCTTCAGCAATGGAGAGCAGGAAAAGAGTGTGTGTGTGTGTGTGTGTGTGTGTGTGTGTGTGTGTGTGTGTGTGTGTGTGTGTGTGTGTGTGTGTGTGTGTGTGTGTGTACATCGTGAATAATCCGAATCTGATTACACACATCAAATCATCTCAGATCAGAGTGTGTAAGCTCTTTTAATGCGGGAAGGTTATGAATTAACTGGATATATGGTTGAGTTGTGTATGAATGTGCTCACATCAGTGTGTGTGTGTGTATGTGTGTGTGAATACCTGATCTTTCAGTTGACGGAAGTATTTCCGCAGCTTGTCTTCATTTGCATGCACCTCCGCCTCCGACATGTTGTCGATAAAATTGTACAAGAAGAAGGATGAAGTATCTGGAAGTGATGAAAACACACACAGTGACTAGTTGTCTTGGGAATACATTTCATTTGCCTCCGTGTCCGTCACTGCATCCATTTGTGCATTTATAAAAAAAATCTGTGACCTCTGCAGAGTGTGTGTTTGTGTTTCTGCTGACAGAGGCTGCTTCTGGGCTGCAGTGTGAGTGAACGTGCGATGGCTGGCAGTGACAGCTTCCCACTACTTCAACTCTCACACACACACAAAAAACACACATACACGCAGATGATGTGGCCTAATGGGATGTGACATGGATAACAGTCTCCATCGCTCCCACCAGCACTAACACCAGTTTCAGATGGGGACTGTCCGTGACACACACACTTACACGGAGCGACATTAACGCTCCACACACACACTCTCACACTGTCAGACCAGGAACGTTGCACAGCAATAACACACACACACTCTTTTAACTACTCATCGCTGTGTCAGCAGCCAGGCTCTATTTCCTCAGACGGAGAGAGCAGGTCTTTCACTCACTCACAAACACCTGGAAATAAACTCACACAGGCTGGATGTAAGAAGCGGGGCGGTCGGCAGAATTTCTGCCATTGAGACTGCACATAAACACACACACAGATCGGACAAACACACACACTGGGCATGTTTTTGTCATCTGAGCTAAAGTTGGAGGATGGATGAGACAGCAAGTTTACACACACACACACACACACACACACACACACACACACACACACACACACACACACACACACACACACACACACACACACAACATC